TCTTTAACCCCCTTTGATACATATTTAAGTGAAAGGAATTATTCATCAAAATTCATGTGTTTATACTCCTCAACAAAATGGAGTCGCAGAACGTAAGAATCGACACCTTTTAGAGGTAACCCATACTCTTTTGTTTCATATGCGTCTGCCTAAACGGTTTTGGGGTGATGCTGTTCTTACTGCCTGTCATCTTATTAACTGTATCCCATCATCTGTATTGGATGGCAAATCTCCATATTCTATTTTATTTCCTGATTCTCCCTTGTTTTCTCTTACTCCTAGAGTTTTTGGCTGTGTATGTTATGTCCACAATCTTGGTCCTGGTTTTGATAAACTAGACCCCCGTGCCACAAAGTGTGTATTTCTTGGCTACTCTCGTTCTCATAAAGGTTATCGCTGCTATAGTCGTGTTTCTCAATGGTACTTTATTAGTGCGGATGTAACCTTTTGTGAGTCCATCCCATATTTTTCAAATCCTGATTCACTTCTTGATATCACTCCTGAGTCGCCTCTTCCTACGGTTTCTCTTCCCTCACTGTCTCTTCAACCTAGATATCCTTCGCCTGCCCCGTTACAGGTATATACTCGAAGACCAAAGCCATCTGCTGTCGTGCCACCTCTATCGTCTTCAGAGTCTTTGGATCCAACACAATCCACTGTGTCTGATTCCTTGCCTATTGCACTTCGTAAAGGTATTCGCTTGTGTGTCACTAATCATCCCATTGCTCATTATGTCTCTTATAATTCCTTATCGCCATCCTTCTCATGTTTTTCCTCTCAGTTGTCTACTACATTTGTTCCTAAGACTGTGCAGGATGCTTTGTCTGATTCGGGTTGGAGGAAAGCAATACAAGATGAAATGGTTTGCATCAGAATGGCACGTGGAATCTTGTTCCATTACCTCCAAGTGCCAAACCTGTTGGTTGTCGCTGGGTATATACTGTGAAGTATCTTCCAGATGGGTCTGTTGCGCGTTTAAAAGCACGTCTTGTTGCCAAAGGTATACCCAGACTTATGGTATTGACTATGATGAGATGTTTGCCCCTCATCTATTCGTGTTTTGATTTCTCTTGCTGCTAATAGACATTGGCCTCTGTTTCAGTTAGACGTTAAAAATGCCTTTTTGCATGGTGACTTAGCAGAAGAGGTTTATATTGAGCAACCACCTGGGTTTGTTGCTCGGGGGGGAGTATCTTCACACTGTTTGTCGCCTTAAAAAGGCCCTGTATGGATTGAAACAATTTCCACGTGCTTGGTTTGGAAATTTCTTTGAGGCGGCATTAAAATTTGGTCTTAACAGATGTCAGACCGACCATTCGGTATTTCACCAGCGCACTAAAGCTGGCTTCATATTTCTTGTGGTGTATGTTGATGATATTGTGATCACAGGTGATGATTCTGAAGGCATTGTTAAGTTGAAGTTGTTTCTGCAATATCGATTCCATACTCAAGACTTGGGTAAACTTAGGTATTTCTTGGGTATTGAAGTTGCTATATCTAAGGAGGGTATATGTTTATCCCAACGAAAATATGTGTTAGACTTATTAGAAGAAACAGGTGTGTTGGGTGGTCGTCCGGTTGATGCTCTTATGGATTCAAATATAAAACTTGGGTCTGATGAAGTTAATCTATTTAATGACCTAGTCAGATTTCGTCGTCTTGTTGGGAAATTAATTTATCTCACTATTACTCGACCTGATATTTCATATGCAGTTAGTGTTGTAAGTCAGTTCATGGGAGCCCCTAGGATGCCACATTGGATTGTTGTTCTTCGGATTATCTGATATCTTAAGCAAGCTCCAGGTTTTGGGTTACTATATAAATCAAATGGTTATCTTAGGGTGGAAGGTTTTACAGATGCCGACTGGGCTGGTTCTCCTTCAGATTGGAGATCTATTACAGGCTACTGTACATTTGTAGGAGGAAATCTTGTTACATGGCGAAGTAAAAAGCAAACGGTGGTAGCTTGGTCTAGTGCTGAAGCTGAGTATAGGGCAATGGCTCATACCACTAGTGAGTTGACATGGATACAACATTTTCTAAAAGAACTTGGGTTGACAGTTGAAACTCCTACTCCATTGTTCTGTGATAATCAAGCAGCAGTTCACATTGCATCAAATCCTGTGTTTCATGAGAAGACCAAACATATTGAAGTTGATTGTCACTTCATTCGAGAAAAAATATTACGTGGGAGCATCTCTACTCCATTCGTGAAGTCTGAAGATCAATTAGCTGATATGTTTACCAAGGCATTGGGCCATAACCGGTTAAGAACTATCTGTTCCAAGTTGGGATTATTTAATATATATTCTCCAGTTTGAGGGGGAGTGTTAGAATGTTTATATATATATAGATGTTGGGTCATTATGTAATTACATATAGTTGGTAGGCCCTTGTGTTATTAAGTTAACCTTGTATCCTTTATATAAGCCTACATAGGCTTATTAGGTTTTGTTATGATATATGAAATATGTCTGCTCTCTCTCTCTCTCTCTCTCTCTCTCTCTCTCTCATGATTTAGGACACTCTTGAAATCAATGTTTTGTAAAAGATCTAGCTCGCATAAATCTAGCTCCCATATCACAAATATCAGTGAAATTAATGTGGAAAAAAAAGGAGAAAATCATGGCTAATTGGAAAATACCCAAAGCCAAATTTAGTAAATTGTATTTTCAGAACAGACATATTATATTAAGACTGTTAAACAGGATTTAGCTGTTACTAATGCCCATCAGACTTTTCAATTATTAAGCAAATCTGCTTTAGATAATTTGAAAGATAAGTACAAGTATATCCATCTCGGTTTAGTCCAAGTAGGACTTAAACCAATGACTACTGATGGGTTAAATACATCCCTCTTAGTCAATCTTTAGAGATTGTCGCCATCTGGAATTTGAAGATTCCCTTCTAGGCATGGTAGAAACCAGTCTCTGTCAAGGGCCAGTTTATTTTAACTGCTACCCTAATTATTCTGTTTCTTTATCCGACCCACATATTTTGGATGTTCTGACTCTTAATATTGAGACTCAGAGATATCGTATGAAACAAAATGCCCACAATATTAATCTCAGTTACTGTATCTACTATTGGGCCACGACCACCATGAACCCTCAATTTATACAAGCTATCAACCCTGATAGAGCTACTGTCGTTTTTCAAGCAAGTCTTGAAAAAGCTACTGCTGCTACCCCTAAAACACTCAAATGGAGTGATATTACCCCTCCTGAATCATGGATCCTTGAGAGTGCTACTCAACCCGATCAACCTCAAAGGAATCAAATGGAAATTATCATTGATGATGCTGAAGGAAATGTAGAAATTTGATTTACCCCTCATATTAACCAACACAGACCTTCTTCATCCTCATCTCGTCTATCTCATTCCTCAATAGAATCTTTCCAGATTGCTCAAAATTCTTTCCCGACCACTAGAAATTCATTTAGTTCCAGATCTCTTAGACAACCTAATCCTCAATCCACAGAGAGAGATAGAGCTACTCTCTGTTTTCAAGCAAATCTTGAAAAAGCTACTGTCGCCACCCCTGAAACACTCAAATGGAGTGATAGTACCCCTCCTGAATCATGGATCCTTGAGAGTGCTACTCAGCCCGATTCACCTCAAAGGAATCACGTGGAAAGTATCATATTGATGATGGTGAAGGAAATAACAAATCCTCTGTACTATCAACAAATTCCAAGATAGCATTGAACCATCTCGTTCTCTTCCTGGAAGTAGTAAAAGTTTTTATGGGAAAATGCCATCATTACAGACATAGGCGGATGGTGATTTATACCAAATTTGTAATTTACTACCATCTGCTGTATGGAGACATTTTTTCTTTTCCTTTGCCAGATTCCTGCCGAGGGAAAAACTAAGAGTCAGAACATCCAAAATATGTGGGTAACCATCTCGTTCACTTCCTGGCAAGTAGTAAGAGTTTAATTACAAATTATGGTATCAGAGAGAGAGAGAGAGACATCTTGTTTTTTCCATTCTAGTATTGTTATTGTTATTTTTGTTGGGGCAGTTGGAGTTTGGCATGCATAGCTAAATAATTATTAGTTACTTTTGTTTGTGGTGTAAATGTTGATGCTGAATTAAGGTTGTTTAACCTTCTTATTTATTTTTGTCCATTTTGACCTTGTAACATAAACTGGAACCAAGTAAAAAAAATGCTGCGTGGCTTTGATGCAGAACATTCACCATGTTATGAGTTACCTGATTGTAATTTGTGATTAGAGAGCATCTTGAATTTAGTATATAGTGATCTTGGCTGTAACAGGGCCATTGATTTTGATCTTTCTTGTGATTGCTCAAGTAATTATTTGTCTTAAAGCATGTGGCATTATGCTTTTGTGTAGTGAACAAAAGTCGCTACAAACCCGTGTTCTATTTTTAGCATCATCTATTCATCTGTTGTGTGGGATAAGTGATAACCACCAAGCGCTCCTCTGACCTCTGAGAGGAGGTTGGGGTTCAGCTCCTAGTTGGGACAATGTGGGTGGGTGGGTGTCTTACTTACCAAAAAGGGAGAAAAAAGATAATGAAAAAGAAAAATAGAAACATCTGTTTTGTCACCCTGTAGTGGGACAACCCAAAGACTGTTCCCAGCCAATGAAACTACTATTAACAAGAAGAGTGACCGACAACGAACATCGAGATCTTACTTGTGCTGTTTAGGGTGGTTGCATATAAATTCACCTTTCCACTCTATCTAGTGCCGTGTAATCTATTACTACCATCTCTGTCACACTATCCAATATCCATATGTTTGGGGCCTTGCCCTTGTGGTTTCTTGAAGTTGAACTTTATCGCTCGTACCTGTGGGATTTGATAATAAGTTCTATGTTCTTCTTTGGTTAAGGGACTAACTTATGATTGCAGGTTGATACATTTGCTTAAAATGACTAAGAAAATATGTTTGTAACCTACGTGATAGGACTTCCAGACTTGCTTTACTAAACTGCTCTTTTGTTCACTGCCATTGCTATTATTTTCAGGTTGTTGCTACGAGATTTATGTCAAAGCAGTAATGCGAGAAGAAGCTCGGAAGCAGACAAGCGGAAGCGCACAGTGAAGTGTGTTTCTGTGGCATTTCTTCTTATTCTGACGGTAGCATCATTAGGCCTTTTATGATTTTGTTATCTCCCTGTGAAATAATCAGGAAAAACTTCTTAAACTCAACTGCTTAAACCCCAAAATACTCTCTCTCGACCTCGGATAGATTTTAATCTTCAATAAAATCTGTTATATTAATGCTGTACAACGATTTTGATGAATTTGATATCCCCACTTTTGTGATGGATTTTAATTCATATGCAAGTAGGCATGTTGATAATTTGATTGCAATAAACTTGACAGTGGTTCGAGTCTTCCAGACTCTGTGTGTCATCTGGTTGTAGTTATTTTTCCTCTATTTTCACGGCCGTAACAGTGAGAAACTGAGAAACTACTCTGGAGGGATATTCCTAAGGGTGGTAATTGGGTGAGTTTGGGCGGGTATTGAATGGGTTGGGTATGAATGGGCTAATAACCCATTACCAACCCATCAATGGTAGGTCATGAACGGGTCAGGGATCAAATGGACGGGTCATAAGCGGGTCAACCTGCTTAAGCCCGTTATTCTTATTTTTTATTTTTTGCACAAATGGGATTGTTTGCCTATGAAGAGATGACGAACGTGTGATACTGAAAAAGAAAATTAAAAATGGCAAACATAATTTCAATTTTTTTTATCTTCTTAAAATGACACGTAATATGAATGATTGTGAAATTACTTCGAACCAAATTTCTAAATGCAAACTTGTGAAATTAAAAAATATATATCTTTTCTCTAAATATATATAATATACACACACATACAAAATATATTAAAACATATAGAAAAAGCAAACAAGAAATGATAAAATATAAAAAGTACTGAAACAAAACTGTCTCTCAACTTCTTGTAATTTTCAAATTAGTTCAATAATGATAAAATTTGTGTGCAAAGTAGAAGCTTTTCAAATTCAGAGAGCAGACAGAATGAGTGGGTTAAGCTGGTACCCATTTTAACTCATTTTTTACCCATTAATTGTATTGGTACCCATTTATTTACTCATTAATTACCCACTCATTCAAATTGGATACCCAAATGATTTAATTGTAATGGACGGGTTTAGAAGGTTTAATGAGTTTGGGTATATATTGCCACCCCTAAATATTCTAAACAATATTGACTTTTATTTTCTTATCCTCCCCGGATTCCCCAATTATGATGCAAACTAGGTGGTCTTGCACATTCTTAATATAAATAGCCCATGTAATATAGAAATTGAGGTTTAGAGATGACGTGGCCCTTTGATCTGCATTTAGGCTCCCTAAAATATTTTCTTTCTTTTTTCTGCCCCGTTTGTTTCAATGTAAAATATTTTTCTTTTTCACGTAAAATATTTTTTTATTTTTACTTTGTCGGTGTTTGACAAAAGCCAACGTTAAGATTCAGGTCGAATTCATCGAATGTGACATGTACTTATTGAAAATTGATAGATAAGTCCAAAATCCGAATGCAGTTAGAAATTGAGAAAGTACCCTGGAGGTACTTCCAAACAATATTGACTTTTATTTTCAGATCCTCCCCGGATTCCCCAATTATGATGCAAACTAGGTGGGTCTTGTACATTCTTGATATAAATAGCCCATGTAATATAGAAATTGAGGTTTAAAGATGACGTGGCCCTTTGATATGCATTTAGGTTTTTTTTTTTTTTTTTTTTTTTTTTTTTTTTTTTTTTTTGTGTGTAAAATATTTTCTTTTATTTTTATTTTTTTTTGTTTAGCAAAGTTTTAGGTCGAGGTTGAGGTCGAGTCCATCGGATGAAGCGTGTAAAATAGTCTGTCGAAAATAAATGAATAAGTTGTTTCTATTAGATTTTAATATTTTTTTTCTTCGTACATATTTTATGATAACCAAACACCAAAAAACACAGAAAATATTTTTTGAAATTTTATTTACGCTCAAACAAATGGGGCCTAGTTGGTCTTTCGTGATTTCCAAAAAACAAAAGAAAAAAGAAAAAAGCAAGAGATGAAGAGATGTGTAAGTTAGCAGTATTTTCTTTACCTCTCAAAGGAGATGACGAAGGTTTGAGTTTCATTGACAACAAATAAACGTGTGTGTTTCTCATCAATGAAAAAAAAAAAAAATAAATAAATAAATAATGCTTCCTACAAATTCAGAGATTCCGAATGAGAAGGAATATGATAATGTCATGTAGTGTAGTCTATAGCTCCTTTTTCACATTTCCGGCATCTTCGAGGAAGTATCATGATTCTTTCCAAATGAGTCCCTTGTATTAGTATTATTTATGTTCAAACTTGTGGAAATGTAGGGACAATGAGGTAGCCAAATGGTATGTGCTTAAATATTGGGTTTAACTTGCATTCTTAGCTAAAATTCAAAAGGAACACCGGTCAAAGTAAGAGTAATGTTACAATAAGGTTGACTTAATATTAGTTGTCTTGAGCTCTCCTTTATATTAGCAAATTTTTGGGACAAAATAAAAAAAGTACATTCTTTATCAAATTAATCTTAGCTTAAAACACCATAAAATAAAATAAAATTATACAATTAAAGATAATAATTTAATTTGGTCAAATAAAGTAAAAAAAAAATAATAATATAAAAGGTTTGACAAATTGGTATCATCCCTGTCATTATCTTATATAAATGGGTTGGTCACATTAATTATATTTTCAATCTTTTATATTGCATATCATTTTACCTACTGTATTTAATTTTTTAAAATTATTTTTACACTAAGTATAAATAAATTTTTACCATGAAATTTTTATCATATAATAAATCTTTAAATAATTAAATACGTATTTTAATATTTAAACATAATTAAGACAAAATAAAAAATAAAAAATTCATGAGATTGAAATGTGGCATTATTCCAAAACCAAATCAAAACTGATCAAAACTAGATGCTCCAATCCGTAGTTGTGTGGGTGTGGGAATCCGTAGTTGTGTGGGTGTGGGTGTGGGTGTGGGTGTGAGAGAGTCAAATCACTTGTCAATAAGGAAGACAAAATGAAAACGAACTTCTTCAGAAATCATTGTCAAGTGTAAGTAAAAGTTTGTAGAGCATTATTGAGTTGAGTGTGACTTGTTGTGCTATGTGAATTCTCTCCTGTTTCCTCCCCCTTTAATTTTTTTCTATATTTTTATTTTGGGATGTCTCAAATACATATTGCTTATACCATTAATTTAGACAAGTGAAAAGACTATATGTGGCGATCTCCAAATGAACTTGCAACACAGAAATATTGCTTAACAACTTGAAAAAAGGAAGTTATATCGGGATACTATCATACAGGCAATCCTATTTGATGACATACAATTCACCACTCAAATGTTGCCACGTGGACTCATGAATTGGGTAAGAATCAAGAACGAATCCGCTTACCAAAAGGAAGGAAGGTGTGGAGAGTTCTAGTAGAACTTGCTACATTGGATCACCATTCCAGTAACTTGGAAGGAAGACATGTGCTGGGGGTAATACCATACAAGCAATTTCACTCAACATAAAACGCGGATGACTTAGTTGCTACATCGTGGAATTCATTAAATTAGAAACAAATAAAAAGGGTAGAATATGGTGAGTTCCATAGGACTTACCACACCAGACCATGTCCCAACAATTTAGGTTTAGCGTACCCTACAACCGGTTCCACTAAGCCACCCAAGTTTGAAGTGTAAAGACTGATCAGATGTTGACATGTGGCATAAGAGATGGAACTAAAAGGGTTAGAAGGGATTCGGTGAGATGCAAGTCCACCATAAAAACACAGGTGGTTTATTATGACCACATGACAAACATCAAGATAGTCATGTGAATCTTTGACCCACTCACCAAGAAAGATAACTCACCATTTTCTACAATTTCTCCTTCGTTATAGGATGGTTCCAAATATTCATGCAACTGTTATGGAAAGAGTGTCCAGGTTCATTTAATTTAGGAGTTATGCTAAATTTTAACAAGCTTCTTAAAATTGAATCTTGGGTATTTTTAATTAGAATAATGAGATTGTGTGTGTGTGTATATATATATATATATATATAAGTTGTATTTAAATACAACTTCATGCATGCAAAAAGAAGTTACAAAATTATAGGACACTTGGAGTTATGGAATGCGCCAAGTGAAAGCCTCGACTTCAAGAAGAGCACTCACCCTCAACTGCTTGGAGGTTATTAATTTAAAGAAGACATGTATATATATATGTAAATTATGGTTCGTGCACAGAGAATGGGAACTACCAAGTCATGGGACACGTGGCAGGGAATGAATATGCCAGATGTAAGTTTTCAGTTCTTTAATTCAACCACTGTTGCCAACTATTGGGAGTTGCTGGAGATCATGGACAATATGGATGAAGATGTTTGTAATGGTGATATAAGGCTGTGGAAGTGATCTCAGAATTTTTGGGACACGAATTTTCAAATTTATCCCTTAACCCCTAGTTTATGCAGAAAAAGGGCTTTAGAGGCTGTAGATTGGAGTTTTGACCAGCACAACGATTCATATCTTTTGTGTATGCTTGATTATTGTTGTTATACATTCATTTTAATGTATTTGGTGAGTTGTGAGAGCTTATAGGGTTTAACCAAGAGTGCTTAGAATAAAGGGTGTGTAACGTGCACTATGTTGAGCTAGTGTGAGTGTAGAGGCTGTGAAAACTAGTATTTCAACTTGTACAAGGGTGTGTGCAGAGTGTGAGATAGCTGAGTGTGTAACTACTTGCATACAGCTAGTGGATCTTATTATTAGCTAAGGTCAAGAACCAAGGTTTTTCCCAATTGAGAGGGTTTTCTAGTCCATCTTATGTTCTATGCCTTATGTGTATTTGTTAAGCCTGCAGTGAACTTGGAAGAAGTTTATTTTGACCAATTCACCCCCCCTCTTGGTCTAACAAGAGCACATATATATTGAAAAACATGAATGTCCTTTGCTACTAATTTCTGGTACAGAAGCAAGAGTTGAGGAGCTGTATTTGGGTTGAGCCAGTTCTGGCACTTAATCAAGGTCAAAGCAAGTTTATTTCTCTTGTTTACACTTTTAGAATACAAATACATGACCATTTCACTGTTGTAGATGTATTTGATAACTGAGACCTCTATAATTGCTTGATTTACTGATTTTGCCTTTGAATCTGTATTCATCTTGTCAAAATCATGCTATACTTTAATTGTGCAACATCCAAGCATGTTTAAATTGATGA